TTGCTTACCTCTTGACTTTGCTCGTACTGTGATCACTATATATATATATATACCTGCATGTTTACTCTTGCTAGGTTGTGATCACTGTATCTCTTGCTCTGTTATAAACCTGCATGTGAACTGGTCTTGTGACCACTAGCTTGTGCTCAGAATTTGTGTGGAATCCTCGAGATCCACCCTGAGCTTGCTTTGCCTTGCTTTGCCCTGACTGGTCGTGTGACCCCCAGGTCTCCCCACTTCGCCTATGGGGGTGTGTCAAACATTATATGTTTATATGGTTGTAGGCTGTAGTGGGTTACGCCTTAGGGGGTACACTGGATTAGGGTTTCCTATTTGTATCCAGCCTTCTGTTAGTACAGCCATTCCAGTCTGTTATTTCGACATCCAGCTCACCCTGGACTCGGTGTCTGCAGCCAGGGAAAGAAACATTCGCATGCACACCGCACTAATACTCATTCGCAGGCACCCAGCCACTTCAGCACGCTGCCACCCTTGTTACCACCTTCTCTTCCAGCTCAACCACCTCTTGGAGTTGCCCACACTGCCAACCAGCTTCTTCGTTTCCCTTACCGCTCTCCGCTGTTAGGTGCCTCGGTTATTTACAAATGTACAGTTTCCCCCATCTGCCCTCACTTACACCCTTAGTCAATATATCTTAGGCATAACCCTAAGGACTCTAACATCCGGGAATGTACCTCCCCCTAAGGATTCTAACATCCGGGAATGTACCGCCTCCACTTCAACAACGATTACATCCTCCTGTCAGTTTACGTCGATGATCTGCTGTACAGCGGAACCTGCAACAAGCTTCTTAATTGGTTTGAGGAGAACATGGCGTAGTGCATTAACATCACCATCAACCACAAAGTCACACAGTTTGTGGGGCTGAACATCACCTACCCGCTAGAAGCAATTCACCTGTCAGCCTTCAAGTACGCAGAACAATTGGAAGAGCGCTTCAAAATTTCGCCCGCACCACTCTCAACTCCTTACCACACTCCCAGTGCCAACTACAAAGCGGACAACAAACCTCTGTCACCCGCAGGACTCAACTGTACCAGTAGCAACTGGGGTGCCTGCTATTCGCCTCTGTCACCTGCTGACCTGACCTTTCGTACATCGCCAGCCAACTGGCATAGTACTTTCTCAAGCTAGTAGCAAAGAACTAGCTAGACATGCGCGCCCTACAGTATTTCATTTCCACACCTAACATTGGGCTCTCCTACTCCACGCCAACCTCCTTCAACCTCAACGACTACGTGGACGCAGATCATGCTGCTGATCCTGTGAATCGACGGTCACAAACTGGCTTCATCTTCTGCCTGGAACCAGCAAGACCAATCTCCTGGAACTCACAGAAGCAGGAGCTGGTTGCCCTGTCGTCGGCCGAAGCATAGTACATTGCTGCGACAACAGCAGTTCGTGAAGGTTTGTACTTGCAAGAACCGCCGCAGGAAGCAAAAATCCTAACTTCGCGCACCTTTCGCCTTCACCGCGACAACCAGAGTGCCATCAAGATCGCGAACAAGCCGGGCTTCATGAACTACACGAAGCATATTGCGCTCCGATACTTTTTCGTTAAAGACGAAATTGACCAGGGAAAGGTTGACCTTGCGTATTGCCCCACCACTAAGATGGCCGTCGATTTTCTCACGAAGCGACTGCCACGTCAGTAGTGCAAGCACTACTCTGACCTCACTGGAGTCGTCAAGCAAGTCAGCACCCTTCACGTCCAGGAATGAAGGAGAGGGTTACGATATGAAGTTTAATGGGATTCATTCATGTATTCTACAGGAGCCGTCTCTCCCGAGTACGAAGTCGAGGCATCAAAAAAGTCGAAGCGACACCAGCAACCGTCAGATCAAGACCGATGCATGTAGAAACATTTGAAATGAAAAGAGCCGGAACAGGTTTGAAACTGGTTCTTACGCCGCACCGTATAAACTTTGCTATAATAAGAGAATTACCCCTAGAGAACAAGCACAGGTTCTTACCCCTTAGAGTACATCGCTAGTCTAAGTCTTTTCGTATTCCATGTATTTCCTATATAAAGTTGATGTATGCATGCTTTTACCATCTCAGTCATTTTACATCCACTCTGATCTAAGGTCAACACTTCCGCTGCAACATTTTAACTGCGATCAACCCTAAGACAATCCTTCGCTAAGTCCCATTTGGGTTTGTACCAAGAATTACTACAAATATGACTAGCCTGGGGAGGGTGGGTGGGAATTGAACTTGAGCGATTGTAAAATGAGAGACGTGGGTGGGGGAAGAATGACCCCAGCCCACATTATATATTCGGAGAAGGCGAATACCGCGCTTCGACGATGCACAAAATTGCGTTACAGTCAGCTTCGCTTTCACAATACACAAATTTGAAAGCGAAAAAACGCTTAGAATGTTTTCATACCATTGGTGTAGGGTAATTTTTTTCAAAACTCACTGATCCACAAGTGTTTTGAAAAATTACACACAGCTCATAAGGGTTTTGAGAATGGCTATACTGCTAATCGTGAGTAGGCGAAATCCAAAGATAGGCCTTGCCTATTATATGCGCTTTAGGGTTTAGGGTTATATAATGACTCAATTGGAAGCGAACCCCCCTAAAAAGCACTGTCTAATTATAAGCGAACCTGCGGTTATATTCGGGGTGGGGTGATATGGTAAGAGTAGCCCAACCTAGCATACAATATATGCAAATATACCGACACACCCCCCTGAATAATTTGGCCCTGACGTTAGGCAAAGGGTCAATAATCCAACTATTGATTGTGATGCCACTGTTAGTACTTCATCAAGTAGAATACCGTATTCTCTCGGACATAACACCCCCCCGTAATTGTACACCCCCGGGTAGCTTGTGCGGGGTGGGTGCTATTGTCAGAATATTATGCTCTAGCCTGTAGTGGGGTGCTCTATAGCGAGTACAACCCTTCTAGGGTTTGCTATTTGTATCCCCATTCTTGCTAGTGTAACCCCTCCTTTGTTCATTTCTTACTTGCCTAGCTAGGTCAACCCTAGCTATGGCTTCTCACTGTCCTTACTATCTTGACATGCTATCAGAGCGGTTACGCTCCTGGCCTGTGGGCCCGCCTGCTTCCGCTGCCTTCCTGTGTGTCGCGCGTCCCTTGACGCGCGATGTTCGTTTTTTCTTCCCGCCGCGCGCCCGGTTTTCTGCCCGCCGTGGCCCCGAGGCGCGCGGCGGTTTCCTCCCTCGTGCGTCACCCCGGGGACCCGCGCTTCCCCCCCTCCCGTCGACCGCCCCGTCGCCCGTCGAAGCGCCCCCCGTCGCCCGTCGAAGCGCCCCCCGTCGCCCGTCACGGAGCCCGCGGACCCGCGCGTCGCCCCCCGTCGCCCGACGCGGCCCGCGCGACCTGCGCCAGGCCCGCGCGCGGCCCGTACGGGCTGCGCCAGGCCCGCGCGCGGCCCGTACGGGCTGCGCCAGGCCCGCGCGCGGCCCGGGCAGCCTGCCCCAGGGCCGCGCGCCGTCCCCCGCGCCGTCCCCCGCGCTCCTGCCCCGTGCCACCCGTTTTAGGGTTTGGGGGTGGCGAGTGTGGGGGTGGCGGTTATGGGGGTGCAAGAGTGTGCGCCGTCCCCTGCTCCTCCTCCTCCTCCGTCTCCCACTACTGCAGCTGCCGCTGAGGGGGGTGGGTGTGTGGGGAGCCGAAGGAGTGGTGCTAGGGGGGTGACGTGGGAGTGGAGTTAGGGGTTGCAGCAGGGGGTGTGTGTTGGGGGGTGTGGGACAGTTGGAGGAGGTTGGGTGGAGGCAGCCGTCGTGTCGTCTGCAGCGCCTGTATTCCGGGGTTCTGATAGCCACCGGTAGCTCAGAGAGCCGGTTGCACCTGTCGCCCGTGGGTCCGTTGCTCCTGTCGCTGCTGATCAGACGCAGAGCCTGTTACTCCTGTATTCCGGGGCCCTTGCTCCCGGTAGCCACTAGAGCTGCACCAGAGCCGTCTGTTGCCCGTGTGTCTGCAGCTTCAGTCGTCGCCTCCACTCCTCTCTCCCCTCGCCAGCCCTCCTCCTCCTCACTTGCCCTCTGTGACTACCTCTAGCTTTGCTCATAATTGTGAACTTTAAACTATTGCTTCTTGAACTTGTGCTCAGAATGTGTGGTGACATTGTGATCCACCCTGAGCTTGTACTGCTTTGCTTGCTCTGCTGATTACACCCCACTTTGGCTATGGGGGTGTGTCAGAATATTATGCTCTAGCCTGTAGTGGGGTGCTCTATAGCGAGTACAACCCTTCTAGGGTTTGCTATTTGTATCCCCATTCTTGCTAGTGTAACCCCTCCTTTGTTCATTTCTTACTTGCCTAGCTAGGTCAACCCTAGCTATGGCTTCTCACTGTCCTTACTATCTTGACAGCTATGGACGACCTCGTTTTTACTGTACCCCCCTTTTTGGGTAATATTCTATAACACCCCCCTTTTCTTACGGATCATTATTATAGTCGTTAACGAGTAGCTGCAATACGGAAGAATGTCGTGAGAATTTCTCCCTCGATGAAATTTCGCGTTAATTCACTTACGATCTGCCAAGATCCCCCCCCCCCCCCCTCCCACTATTTCGTTGTCGCCACGTGCTTGTGAATCTTCCGCTGCAAGTCGCCACGGAGGTGTCACATGGTATTTTTGTGGAGGTAATGAAGTTATCGCCCGAAACTCACATTCACGCCTCTACGGTGATGATAAAGCTTTTGTATACATTTGAAAGTACTGTTGGTGTTTGTACAGTAGCCAAATGGATTTTGCCACAACGAAAACGAATGAGCTTGGCGAGGGAGCTGGCGAAAAATTGAAGCCAACCTGCATTTAGGGTTTCAAACACGAGGAACTCTCCCGTCACCAATTCCGGAGTGACACACAAACTCAATAATAAGCGACTAGCTATTGAGAAAGGCCTAGGGAGAACTACACGGGATTCGACGAGGCGGCGAGCGGAACAGCGGAAGCACTCAAATTAACGCTGGTAGTAAGGGCTCAACATACATTACAGGCTAGTGCAGGGGAAGGGTAATGCTGGGAGGGGAAGGGTAATGCAGGGATGGGAAGGGTAATGCAGGGAGGGGAAGGGTAATGCAAGGAGGGGAAGGGTAATGCAGGGAGGGGAAGGAGGGAGGGGAAGGGTAATGCAGGGAGGGGAAGGGTAATGCAGGGAGGGGAAGGGTAATGCAAGGAGGGGAAGGGTAATGCAGGGAGGGGAAGGGTAATGCAAGGAGGGGAAGTGTAATGCAAGGAGGGGAAGGGTAATGCAGGGAGGGGAAGGGTAATGCAGGGAGGGAAAGGGTAATGCATTGCGTGGAACCTGTGCGGCTGGGCGACGCTGCACTGAGCTACGCGATAAGCGGGGATCGTGCGATGGTGCCTTCCCTCGCGATGACGAGCGGGGGGGGGTTGGGGTTGAGGAGATACTTATGGCGGATGGGCAGTTTCAGTGCGGCCTCTTGTTGCTTACTTTCGGGAGGCGCGGCCTCTCGATAGGCGACGAAATGAGCGGGAGAAGGGGGGAAATGAACTGGAGTAAGGGGGGCATGACAGTGAGTAGGGAGGGAAATGAGAGGGAGAATAAGGGGGGAATGAGGGGGAGCATGGGGGGAATGAGGGGGAGAAAGGATGGAATTGAGAAGGGGAAAGTGGGGCAATAAGCAGGATAAGTGGGGGAAATGAGAGGAAGAACGGGGGAAAACGAGAGGAAGAAGGGGGGGAAACGGAAAGGAGAAGGGGGGGAGATGAGAGGGAGCAGGGGGGGGGAGAATGAGAGGCAGAAAGGGGGGAAATGAGAGGGAGCACGCGGGGCAATGAGAGGGAGAAGGGGGGGAAATGAACAGGTGAATGGGAGGGAAACGAGAGGGAGAAAGGGGGGAAATGATGGGGAGCATGAGGGGAAAAGAGAGTGAGAATGGGGGGAAATGAGACGGTGAAACGGGAAGGTGGGAAGGTGAAACGGGGAGCGGGAGGCGGGAAGGGGAAGTGGGGAGCGAGAAGGAAAGTCGGGGAGGCGGGAAGGTGAAACAGGGAGCAGGGAGGGGAAAAGAGGAGGCTTGAACATGAATGGGGAGGCGGGGATGAGTAATGGAGAGCAGGAAGGGGAAACCGGAAGGTGGGAAGGGGAAACGGGGAGCAAGAAGGGGAAAAGGGGAGCGGGAAGGGGAAACGGGGATGCAGGAAGGGGAAACAGGGAGCGGGACGGGGAAACGGGAACAGGACGGGGAAACGGGGAGGCGGGAAGGGGAAATTGAGAGCGGGAAGGGGAAACGGGGAGGCAGGAACGGAAATTGGGGTAGCAAGAAGGGGAAACGGGAAGGCGTGAAGGGGTAATGGGGAGCGGGAAGGGAAAATGGAGAGGCGGGAAGGGGAAACGGGGAGGCAGGAATGGGTACTGAGAAGCGGAAAGGGGAAACGGGGAGGCGGGAAGGGGTACTGGGAAGCGGAAAAGGGAAACGGGGAGGCGGGAATGTGAATTGGGGTGGCGAGAAGGGAGACGAGGAGGCGGTAAGGGGTTGGAAGCTCCCGTTTCTGTAGTTGTTCGCGCACTCAAGTGCGGCTGCCGGGGCTAGTGCGGAAACGTGGTAGCGAGGCTGTGCGATCAGGTCGCGACTGTGATCGTGCTTGTTCGGCAGTTTGAGACGAGTCGTGCGCGTTCACAGTGGCGTGAGGAGGCAGTGTCGTGAGGCGACACGACGAGGCGAGGTCGTGAGAGGAGGTCCCGAGGAATCGCCGCGTGAGAGGGCAGACCTGACGTTGGTTTATCCCTATAATTACACTAAACTGCCCCACGCGTTTAGGTTTGTGTCGGAAAAGGGGGTAATTAGCGCTGGTTGTTGAGTCGCGATGTGCTTAGTGAAAGAATCCGCCTCGATTTTACTAACGCCACAGAATGAACTTGGCGAGTTAGAGGCAGAGCCTAGGATCGATACGACGGGCTCGGAGCAAGGATTCCATAGCACTTGAGATCAATGAAAACGCCCAAGTAGCAAGAGAGTAATTGTATAATATGTATGGCTGGGTACAAGCTACGAATTGAAGATAAACTCTCTGGATTGCTCTCTGGTTTTATATCTAAAACATGCAAGCACAAATGTAACATCGAACCGCGCGGACCGGACTCGACGGAAATTCGGACTTGGGACGTCCAATTTCCGCGACGTCCGCGCTCACATTTTCGGACCTTGCCGAGTTCAATTCAACTCGCCAAATGCGTGTGTTACACGAAAGTGTAGCGAGTGTAGCGAAGTGTTCAACACATTCGCTTGATCTCTCGCTATTTTCGTTTGTGCTTACGGGGCTGCCAAGTGTAGCCCCCACAAAGTTTCGGACCCAACCGGGTTAACTATGGTTGCGTGGCGACGCGGACAATCCGCCGTCACCCCAACCTTCCGTGAAAACACCCCCCCTTGGTCCGAGTCAAGGGGGGTCTTAGCGTGGGGGGCAATCCCGTCCCCCACACTTCCAACACTCCCCCTTGCACCCCACGCACACCTAAGCATGCAAGCCTACCCTAGCACAACATGCATGAAGAGCATCTCTAGGCAATGGCTTGGTAAGGAAGTCCGCGGGTTGGGAGTTGGTCTTGATGTAACGAAGCTCGACTTCGTTGTCTTCAACAAGCTTACGAATGAAGTGGTGCCGGATTTGAATATGCTTAGTCCTTCCGTGAAGGACCGAGTTCTTGGCTAGGCCAATAGCGGCTTGGTTGTCCACGTAGATGGGAGTGGGGCCTTCTTGTTTGTGCCCAAGCTCGGCAAGAAGACGCCTTAGCCAAACCGCTTCCGTACCACCACGAGTGAGCGCCACGTATTCCGCTTCGGTGGAGCTAAGTGCAATCAAGTTTTGGCGCTTGCTTTGCCAACTTATTGCACCTCCCACGAGGGTGAAGATATAGCCCGAGGTGCTTTGGCGGGTTGAAGGATCTCCCGCCCAATCCGCATCCGTGTAGCCTTGAAGCACCACGGGTCCCTTCTCGTAGTGCAACCCCATACGAGTGGTCCCCTTGATGTAGCGAAGGAGGCGTCGTGACGCTCGCACATGCTCGACCATGGGGTTGGAGACGACACGCCCAAGCACTCCAACGGGAAAGGAGAGGTCGGGTCGCGTGCTCACCGCGGCATACATGCAAGACCCAACAACCGAGTGGAAGGTCTTGGCGCTCTCGGGATCCATCGGGTTCTCGTCGCTCACGGCCAAGGGATGAAACCCCGCTTCCATGGGTGTCGGTGTAGGCTTGCTCTCGATCATGCCGAAGCGATCCACCACACTCTCCAAGTACTTGTGTTGGTGGAGGGCGAGGGTCTTGTTCCCTCGGTCGCGATCGATGTGCATCCCTAGGTAGTGGGAGACGGCGCCGAGGTCACGCATGGAGAATTCGGCGGCAAGCTTCGTCTTCACGTCCGCTACAAGGGCCTTGGAATCCGACACGAGGAGAAGGTCGTCGACGTAAAGAAGAAGAACGAGCTTCTTCTCGTCCTTGTTGAGCACGTAGAGCGCGTGGTCACACTCGCTCCGCACGAACCCCAATGAGAGTAGGTGTTCGTCAATCCTTGTGTACCATGCACGAGGGCTTTGTTTGAGGCCGTAGATCGTGCGCTTGAGCTTGCACACGCGGTCGGAGTCGTCGTCGAACCCGGGAGGTTGCTTCATGTACACCTCCTCCTTGAGACGACCGTAGAGAAACGCCGTCTTCACGTCGAGTTGTTCCACCTCCAAGTCGAGTGCTCCCGCCAACACCAAGAGGGTGCGCAACGTAGCGGACTTAGCGACGGGAGCGAACGTCTCGTTGTAGTGAAGACCCTCCTTTTGTGTGTAGCCTTGCGCCACCAACCGCGCCTTGTACCGCTCCACTTCTCCGTTGGGGCCGAGCTTCTTCTTGAAGACCCAACGAGAGCCAACGAGGTAGGCGCCGGGAGGCATGGGGACAAGCTCGTAGACGTCGTTCGCCATGAGTGAATCGTACTCCTCTTGAAGCGCGCGCTCCCATTCCGCCGCTTCCGCCGAGCTCATGGCGCCGTGGTAGGTGGACGGGGTGTCGGTGTACGCCTCAAGACACATAGCGTCTCCCCCTCCCACATCGTCCCCCGCCACGAGAGAGTAGTCATCGAACTTGGAGTTGGGATGAGGGTTCCTTCGAGTGCGAGTGGATGCGAGGGTGGGAGTGATACGAGGAGGAGGAGACGAAGGGTCACGTTCCTTGGCATTTCCTTCATCCTCACTCACTCCAACCGCACCCGCTCCATTCTCCCCCTCACTCGCACTAGGAGGAGGAGCCGTAGGAGCGTCATCCGCCTCATCCGCGGCATCCAAGGGTGGAGGGACAATGATGACCGAGGGCACAGTCGTAGACTTGGAGGGGAAGGTGTCTTCGTAGAACACCACGTCGCGCGACACCACGAGTTTCCCGTGCTCCAAGTCCCACACGCGCCACCCCTTGTGATCCGCGCTTGGACCCAAGTACATCGCCACCCGCGCCTTCGCCTCAAGCTTGGTCCGTGTAGCATCCGGGACATGGTAGTAGCACGTACACCCAAACGTGCGAAGGTCGGTGACGTCCGGCTTCGTACCGCTCCAAGCCTCAAGAGGCGTCTTGTTGGGCAACGCCTTGGTCACGCACCGGTTGCGAATCCAAGTTGCCAACGTAACCGCCTCTCCCCACCAATGCTTCTCCGCGTGAGCATGGGAGAGGAGACTTCGTGCCGACTCCATGAGCGTGCGATTCAAGCGTTCGGCGGCTCCATTTTGTTGAGGCGTGTACGGCGTAGAAAACTCATGCGCGGTCCCACGCCCTTTCAACCAATCGCCGAGCTCCCGAGCGGTGTATTCGCCACCTCCATCCGAGCGAAAGCGCTTCACCTTGAAGCCGCTTTCCGTCTCCACATCCGCGACCCATTGCTTGATGGCGGTTGACGTGGCGTCCTTGTGCTTGAGAAGCCGAATCCAACACATCCGCGTCGCGTCGTCGAGGAGCGTGAGAACGTAGCGCGCGCCGCCCTCCGACGTGGGAGTGATCGGTCCACACAAGTCCGTGTGAACGAGCTTGAGAGGTTCGGTGGCGTTCGGCTTCGTGCTTGGTGGAAATGGCTTCCGTGCCATTTTCCCTTCAAGGCAACCGACACACTTCTCGTCGTCCCCACCCGAGCGCACAAACTCCAAGCCTTGAACAATCCCCTTCGTTACCATAGCTTGAATAGCCGCATGGTGGAGGTGGCCAAGCCGATTATGCCATGTTGAGAGTGAGGTTGCCGAGGTAGCCGCTTGTGCCGATGCCACGCTAGGGAGAGCGTCAAGCATGAAGAGTCCTCCCGTTTGGCGTGCCGTGCCGATGTGTACGCCATCCGCCGCGCTCAACGCCATCATGGTCCCTTCGATATTCACACGCATCCCCTTGCGTGTGAGTTGAGAAACGGAGAGGAGGTTGGCGCCGAGCCCGGGAACCACCAAGACGTTCTTGATGGTGAGTGGACCGCCGTCCACCATGAGCCGCAAGTCGCCTTGTCCCGTGACGTCCAACGTGTCACGGTTGCCGAACATCACGCGCTTAACGGGAGCCTCCGTTGTCACGTTGTTGAGAAGCGTCGCACACGCCGTCATGTGTTGAGTAGCACCCGTGTCGAGTATCCACGCGTCCACACCACCGACGGTCGTTCCACTTGCGACGAAGACGAAGTCCCGGTCGTTGTTATCGCATGTCGCCACATGCGCGCGCCGGTTGTCGTCACTTGAAGACGGCTTCCAATTCGCCGGCTTGACGGGACATTCGCGCCACCAATGTCCGGTCTTCTTGCAAAACCGACAAGCGCCGTCGCGCGTCCGAGCTCGATTAGCGTTGGCTCGATGAGCTTGAGGCCGCCGCGCTCCCGCTCGAGCTCCCGCGGTTGTTGCCGTCGTTGCGCCGCTTGAAGTGACCCGTCCCTTTCGCCTTTGCATCGCGGGAGAAGTGTGCCGCGCCAATTGCATCGCCATGCAATTTCGTGCGCCTCGCCTCTTCGTTGATGAGGCGTGCCACCACTTGCTCCTTCTTCCACGTGTCTTGCGTCCCATCCAACATCGTAATGACCGTTGACCATGCTTCGCCGAGGCCCGCGAGGAGCGTCATGATCCAATCGTTGTCCTCCACGCTCGCGTCGAGTTCCACCAAACGCTCGCCAAGCTCCTCCACGCGGTTGACATACACGCGCATTGACTCGCCGTCCCTCATCCGCACCGTGAAGAAGTCGAGGCGCGCTTGAAGCTTGCTATGAAGCGACTTGGAGACGTGCTCTCCTTCGAGTCGCTTCCACGCTTCACGAGTCGCGCCGTCACGGTCGATGCACGGACTCACGATCGGGACGAGTTGGAGGCTTAGCTGAGAGACAAGAAAGGCAAACGCCTTTTTGTCCTTACGCACCCACGCTTCCTTCTCCGAGGTTGAAGCGTCCGACGTGGGCTTCGATGCCGACCCATCGAAGAAGCCCCACAAGTCGCGCTCCATCATATACACCTTGACATTGAAACGCCACGAGGAGAAATGCTCCCCGTTGAAAATCGGCACCGCGCTCAAGTCGACAACGTGCGGCGTTGTCGAGAAGTCCGCCGGGAGGGAAGGGGTCGTTGGCGCATTCGTCGTCGACGAATTATCGGAGGAACCCATGGCGTAACAACGATTGAGCGATCACTCCTAATCTAGCTCTCATACCATGAAAGAATCCGCCTCTGTTTAACTAACGCCACAGAATGAACTTGGCGAGTTAGAGGCAGAGCCTAGGATCGATACGACGGGCTCGGAGCAAGGATTCCGTAGCACTTGAGATCAATGAAAACTCCCAAGTAGCAAGAGAGTAATTGTATAATATGTATGGCTGGGTACAAGCTACGAATTGAAAATAAACTCTCTGGATTGCTCTCTGGTTTTATATCTAAAACATGCAAGCACAAATGTAACATCGAACCGCGCGCGACTCGACGGAAATTCGGACTTGGAACGTCCAATTTCCGCGACGTCCGCGCTTACATTTTAGGCGGACCTTGCCGAGTTCAATTCAACACGCCAAATGCGTGTGTTACACGAAAGTGTAGCGAGTGTAGCGAAGTGTTCAACACATTCGCTTGATCTCTCGCTATTTTTGTTTGTGCTTACGGGACTGCCAAGTGTAGCCCCCACAAAGTTTCGGACCCAACCGGGTGAACTTTGGTTGCGTGGCGACGCGGACAATCCGCCGTCACCCCAACCTTCCGTGAAAACACCCTCCCTTGATCCGAGTCAAGGGAGGTGTTAGCGTGGGGGGCAATCCCGTCCCCCACACTTCCAACACTTAGCTACGTTATGCTACCTGCAGAGCGTAGTGGCGTAGATTTCATATAGGCTAGATATCGTATACTTTTGTCGATCTAGAAGTTTTGAATCACTAGCGAGTGCTGGGTGTCGGGGAGATCTCCCTCCCTTGTTCAGCGAGTGAACTAGCTGTAATAGAGTTACCAATATTTCAAATTTCAAAAGTTTTGAACCTCCCTCTTTCAAATGTATACAAAAGCTTTAATACGACCATCAAAACACCCACATTGTCTAATTTGAAAAACACTAACACTAAACTATGCCATATTTAAGGACCTGGGTATTATGTAGTTTTTTCCTATGACGAGACCTCTCCCTCCACCCCCCCCCCCCCAAGGATGTTTTGTCCTATTATGTATTGTTAGCTATACCCTAGGGTGTTATGTCCGGGAGATACGGTATACTGTCAGAATCCTAGCCACTAACCACTGGGATAAAAGGGCTTGTTTGTGTAGTGGGTGAGTGCGCCCATAACCCCCTAGGCCAACGTGCCTGTAACCCTTCCCTAGGATCAATCGAGGATCACCAGTGGACCTCTTGTGTCAGAAGACTAAGCGAGAATGAATGCATTGAACAGAAAGTTGGTACAAGTACTAACCCTAATTGGGTTGTACCCCTTATGGCACTACAGCCTACACAGCATAACCATTATAACAGTTTGACACACCCCCATAGGCAAAGTGGGGGAGAACAAGTGGTCACAAGACCAGTCAAGAAAAGCAAAGCAAGCTCAGGGTGGATCACGAAGTCACCAAACAATCTGAGCACAAGCAAAGGGCCACAAGGCCAGTTCATATGCAGAGTTATATAAACGAGAGCAACTAGTACACTAATCACTACCTAGCAAGTACAAGAATGCAGGTATATATATAGATCACAGTACAAGCAAAGTCACGCAGTGAGCAACTGAGTCGAGGCAGGCACAAGGCCTAAAGCAGTACAGATTCGCTGATGATCACCAGGCGGAAGTGCCTTGGTAAATATATCAGTAGTGTTGGCCCGGCTGGCGACGTAAGCAAGACGAAGCTGACCACGCTGCTGCAACTTTCGAGCAAGGAAGTAACGCAAAGCGATGTGCTTCGTTCTGTGCTCCAGTCTGTGCTCCTCACACAAGGCAATAGCGGCCTTGTTGTCTACGTACAGCACTGGAGGACAACTAGGCCGCACTCCCAAGTCGTTCAGCAGGTAGGTGAGCCAGCGTAACTCCTGTGCAGCCATGGCTCCTGCGTAGATCTTGTCAACGGGAGTTGTATGTTGGCCCCGTCCTCGCTTGGGCGGAGCCGACTTCGTGGTCGGGTGTAGGGTGCAGCCGACCTGCAGCAGTGGGCGAGTTGGTCGACGAGGTTGGTCGACCTGCACGGGGAGCCACTGCATGGGCGCCGACTTCGGGAGGGCGCCAACTTCGGGTGGTCGACCTGGGAAGTCGACCAGACCTTCTGGTCGACCTGGTAAGTCGACCAGCCCTTCTGGTCGATTTGGGAAGTCGACCATACCTTTCGGGTGGTCGACCTGGGAAGTCGACCAGACCTTCTGGTCGACCTGGTAAGTCGACCAGCCCTTCTGGTCGACCTGGGAAGTCGACCAGACCTTCTGGTCGACCTGGTAAGTCGACCAGCCCTTCTGGTCGACCTGGTAAGTCGACCAGCCCTTCTGGTCGACCTGGGAAGTCGACCAGACCTTCTGGTCGACCTGGTAAGTCGACCAGCCCTTCTGGTTGATCTGGTAAGTCGACCAGCCCTTCTGGTCGACCTGGTAAGTCGACCAGGCCTTCTGGTCGACCAGGAGTGACGTCGACCTAGAGCTGGTCGACCAGGGGGCAGTGGTCGACCTGGTGAGGTTGACTGGAAGTGGTCAGGTCGACGGGCGACATAAGCAAGACGAAGCTGACCACGCTGCTGCAACTTTCGAGCAAGGAAGTAACGCAAAGCGATGTGCTTCGTTCTATGCTCCAGTCTGTGCTCCTCACACAAGGCAATAGCGGCCTTGTTGTCTACGTACAGCACTGGAGGACAACTAGGCCGCACTCCTAAGTCGTTCAGCAGGTAGGTGAGCCAGCGTAACTCCTGTGCAGCCATGGCTCCTGCGTAGATCTCAGCCTCACAACTGGAGCTGAGAACAAAAGACGAGCGGGTAGACCGCCAAGAAATAGAGTCGGAGCCAAGGCTGAACATGTAACCCTGTGACGACCGCTGCGTAGCCAGGTCGTCAACCCAACGACGCCCGAGTGTCCAGTGAGGACAATGCGACTCCATCCTCCAAGCACGAGCCCCATGCCTGACGTACTGCACAAGTAGCGCAACACCCACTTAGGAGCCTCCCAGTGCTCTCGCCGGTGTCTCCCGGGCGCAACGTAGCGTGCCAGGATGCTAAGAGGGTATGCAAGGTCAGGTCGAGTGCAGGCCATCAGGTACATGAGGCAGCCCACAGGCTCTGGATACCGGCCACTCGGCTCTACACACTCATCCAAAGGTGGAGCTGAGAGCGAGTGACCGGTAGGCAGAGAAGTGGACTGTGGTGAGGACCACGTGAAGCCGAAGTGCTCAAGGACCTGATGCACCATGTGTGACTTAGCGAGGGTGATGGTGTGCCCAAGCCAAGATAGCTGCGCAGCTCACCCAGGTCTATGCACGTGTGTCTCTTCTGCAGCTCTGACTTCACAAGGGCGAGTGCCTCAGTGTCAGCAGTGGCAAAAACCAAACCGTCGACGTACACGGGGATGTAGCGCGGCGGCAGCAAAGTGTCGGTGCGCAGAAACAGCGATGGGTCAGCAGTCGAAGGAGCAAACCTAAGAGCCGCAAGTGTCGTCCTCAGTGTGTCGTGCCACTCGCGGGGCGCCTAGTGGAGACCTAGTCTGGCCGCCGGAGGCTCCACTGGGTACCTGCAGGAAACGACCCAATGAAGCCAGGTGGGCGGCGCAGCAAGATCTCCTCGTGCAGGCTGCCCTGCAAGAAAGCTGTGCTGAAGTCAAGAGAGTGAAGCTCGTAGTCATGCTGAGCAGCAACGTGCAGCAACACCCGAAGAGTGGTCATCTTCGGGGTAGGGGAGAAGGTCTGGAAGAAGTCAACTAACTGTCACTGACTAAAGCCTCGTGCAACGTAACGAGCCTTGAAGACATGCGGAGAACCCGGCGGCCGCTTCACCCTGAAAATCCACATGTCATCGACTATGTTCGCCCAAGGAGGGGGAACAACGTCGATGTAAGTGCCTGTGGACTTCCAGGATGCCATTTCTGCGTCCATGGCTGTCTGCCACTGAGAGGAGTAGGGACCCGTATTTGCCTCTGTGTAAGAGCGCGGGGTCGGGATGTCTAAAGCATCCGGGTCTCCCTCAGGTGCAAGCAGCATGGCCACGAGATGAGGTACAGTAGCTGCAAGGCACTCAAAGGCCTCCTGCCTGTCTTCAAGGACGTCCGTGCCAAGAGCACACTCACCCCCGATGGACGGAGGACAGACAGACTTAGACTCAGCAACAAGACTAGCGGCGTGGTCGAGACGACACACATGCAGCAGCAAAGTCGACAAGCTCAGCAACCAAGGCAAACACAGAAGTGGAACACGAAGGGTCGGTGATAACAGTGGCTAGGAGACATGTAATAGTAGGGCTAGCAGCACGAACCAAGTCAGACTCAGGGTCCGGAACGTGCGGAAGAGAGGACGCAAGAGGAGACAGTAGGGGGATACGCTGTGGAACAGAGGAAGGACGAAGTACCATAGTGTGAGTGCCGGGAACAGAAGGAGGACGCCGACGAGGAACACGGCGACCAGTGCGAACAGTGCGAACAGGCGAGGCAGGACGAGGCTCAGGCTCAGGCTCAGGCTCTGTAAGAGAGTCTGTCTGCTCAGTGTAAGGAGAAGGAGCAGGCAGTGGGGAGTCTGGCTGTAACTGTGGCCTCAACTGGGCAGGCAGTGGACACAGTAAGGGAGGAGTAAGGCCAGTAAAAGACGGGAGACTAAGAACCTGGTGAAGCACTGAGGCAGGCGGTGGCAGAGACGACGGTGACAGCAAAGCGAAGAACAGTCGCGGCTGTGCAGTACCACCAGCACCAGCTCCTCCAGTACGAGCACCTCCAGTACGAGTACCAGCAGCTCCAGCGCCTCCAGCAACCCCAGAACCTCAAGCTCCAGCGCCTCCAGCACTAGCGCCTCCAGCTCCTGTGTCACCAGCTCCAACGCCTCCAGCCCCAGCGTCTCCAGCTCTAGCGCCTCCAGCTCCATCAGATCCAGCTCCAGGGTTACCAGCCCTAGGTCCTCCAGCTCCTCCAGCTCCAGTGTCCGCATCACCACCAGCTCCGGCAGCTCCAGTACCTCCAGTACGAGCACCTCCGGGACCAGCAGTGCCAGCACCACCAGCACCTCTAGCACCAGCAGCACCACCAGCTCCGTCAGTTCCAGTACCTCTAGTATGAGCACCCTCCAGGACCAGCAGCTCCAGCTCCTCCGGTACCTCCAGCTCCAGCGTCTACAGGAGCAGGGGCTCTAGAGGCAAGGTCTTCAGCTCCAGTAGCGCCACTCCGAAGGTGGGTGCGCTGTGAATACCGCTCGTGCAGTTGCTGTAATGAGAGAGGCTCCCGCCGGGGAGACCGCCGAGACAAGGCACCCATAGGACCTCCAGCAAACGCAACACCCCTAGACTCAGCACCCCCAGGCTCCGCACCCGCAGGCTCAGCACCCCCAGGCTCCGCACGCTCAGGCTCAGCACCCCCAGGCTCTGCACGCTCAGGCTCAGCACCCCCAGGCTCCGCACCCGCAGGCTCAGCACCCCCAGGCTCCGCACCCGCAGGCTCAGCACCCCCAGGCTCCGCACCCGCAGGCTCAGCACCCCCAGACGCAGCACCCCGAGCAGCACCACTCCTAGCAGCACCTGAGTCACCAGTGACCTCGACAGGCTCAACCAAGGGGAGTGGGTCTACCTGAGACACACCTGAAGGAGCAGGACCCTGCGGGGGGAGGGGGTCTACCGGAAGAGCAAGGAAGAGCGGCGGGGTGGGGGGGAGGGGGGGAGGGGGGGGGGAGGGGCAATGCGGTAGGGGAAGAGATGGAAAATGGGAACCGACTCTTCAAACGTGATGTCTCGAGAGGACAGTCAAGACACGGCGTGAGGTGGGGTGGTAAAACTGCCAGCCAGGCGCGTCAGGGGGGAAGCCAAGGAAGACACAGGGAATGGCGCGGGAGGAGAGCTTGTCCGCGGAGGTATTGTGGACAAAGGCACGAGCGCCCCAGACCCGGAACACCGACGCATCGCCAACCTCCCCCGTCCAACGCAGTGTAGGCAAGGTCTCCGGTAAGGAGACGCGGGGCCAGAGGTTGAGCTGATGCGCAGCGTACCGGACCGCAAACGGCCACAGAAAATGGGGAGCAGCTGCATGGATCATGGAGGTACGAGCCACCTCCATGACTAGGCCAATGCGGTGCTCAGCAACCCCATTCTGCTGCGGGGAGGCCGGAAGCGTGAACGATTGGAGGATGCCCTCCCCACAACAAAAGTCTCGCAAGAGGTCGGAGGAGAACTCACCACCTTTGTCAGAGTGCAGACGGTGGGACAAGAAGGTCCGTGTGGAACTGCTCGCGGAGCTGGAGACGGGTAGCGCGGATCCAAGGGATCAAGACATCAGGGACCTCCCCCTTGCTGCGCAAGGGGAACACCGTCAACAACCAGCAGAAAGTACCGCTCGCGGTCCAGTTCACGGACGCGGGCTGGACCCCACACGTCCATGTGGAGAGTCTGCAGGGGAGCCTCTGTCGGGGGAAACGAGGAGGAGTGAGAAGCGGCGCGCTGCCACCCCTCGACGCAAGGAAGGCAGGGCGGGGCAGGCGAGCGCGGGAGGGGGGGCAGAGACCTGGGAAGACAAGAGAGAAGGAGGCGGGAGTGCATGCCACGGAGGCGTGACAAGGAGGGGTGACCAAGGTGGTGGTGCCAGAGGAGAGTCTTGTGCGAGAGGTGGCGACACGAGCAGGGGGCTGCTACCTGACCTGACGCTGACACCTGACCAGACGCAACTACCTGGGGAGACTCAGTAGTCAGTGTGTACAGGCTCGACCCAGGCCGACGGGTGAACGTGGCCAGGTGGCGGCCCGTCCGTGTACACATGCAGATCGTCAAACGCTGACCCCCAGTAGTGGTTGTAGTGACCATCACATCCTGGAGGGCAGCGATACTTACCAAGTTCGTAGAGAACGAGGGGAAGTGATGACCTCACAGTGAGCCAGACGGAACCGCCGGACACGGGAGAACAGTGGTGGAACGTGCAAGAACTACGCACCCTAACGGTCAACCAGTCTGACTGCAACCGGTGCAGGGAGTGGTGTGAGTGTGGTACTGTCGCGAAAGAAACAGCAGGAAGCACCTGAGTCAAGCGTGAAGGTGTGCAAGGCCTCAGCACCTAGCAAATTGAGCAGCAGCCTCTATATTTGGACCGGGCGGCACACACAGGTAACAGTCACCCTCAGCACTAATAGTCAAAGCATACATGGCAGCAAGGATAGCATCATAATCAAGAGCAAAGATATCAACACAAGACCTAAGGAGCTCTAGCCAGCGGGGGAGCTCAACGCGTCAGGAAACTGTGTGCGCCAGGCGTCGTCAAGACGGGAGAAGCAGCGGTACTCTGAGTGACCAGTCTTCCCGCATGTCAGACCAGCGCGATCACTTGTGCGAATGACATACGGACAGTGAACACTACCCCCAGACGCTGTGCGTACCACTCACAAAGCTGCTGGGGCGTAGGGGTCTCGCGGACGCTGCTGCTGCCTCTAGCCACCACGAGAACCTCCCCTCTGAACGGCTCCACCCCGACCGCCACCACTGCCGCCGCGACCACTCCCACTGCCGCCACCACACCCACTGGTGCCACCACCGCTGCCACCACTCCCACCGCTGCCACCACCGCCGCCGCCAACGCCCCCAGTCCCGCCACCACTCCCACCGCCACCACTGCCACCTCCACCGCCTCCACCACCTCCACCACCGCCTCCCCCATCCCCATCTCCACCACTCTTGCCTCCCTTGCCCTTGCCGCTGCGGCGCCTCCCACTAGGAGCAGACGCAGCCCCGACCTTCTCAGCACCAAGGAAGTCAACAGCAGCAGCAGAAGCGTAGGAGGGGGCAAGGGGGGAGGGGGAACACCCCTCAAAGAAGGGAGTGCGAGGAGTGCCACGAGCAGCACCTACAGCGACTATGCTAGTCTCAACTGCAAGGAGGTGCTTCTCGAATTCGTCGACAGTGAGGTCTATAGGGTCAAGGGCGAGAAAGTGGTCCCTGACTGCGCGAAGAGAGTCAGGGAGGCGGGTGACGATGAAGTAGAGAGTGATGTACATCGGGGGCGGGTTCTTGTCTAGGAACTCGGCTTTAAGCGCGGCGCGGTAGCGAGTGTCGCTAGTGCGAAGGTGGGTGATGAGGTCATCGACTGTGGCAAATGCGGAAACCTCGGGCAGTATAAGGCGGCCGAGAGCAGCAGTGGCAGGGGAGGAGTAACGAGCGACTACAGCGTTGTACATGGCTTTGGCAGTCTTGTGCTGGCCAGAGTGAGCGCGTTCTACTAATGGCAGGTGGTTGCGAACGGCTAGGCGAGCAGCAGCGTCACGGGTAAGCCACTGTGAGCGAGTCGCACTGTTAGCTGTGTTGGGAGGGGCGAGAGAGCCTCCAGACGGTACAACTGTAAGTCATCGAGCCATGTATCGAATTGGATCGGATGGCCCTCAGGATCAAATGTGAGAACACTGAGGGTAGCCAAAGCGGGCAGAGCCGGGTGGCGCGTGACGAGCAGGGCGGCGCGCGTGCACTAGGGAAACGCGCAAGGCAGGGAAGGGAGGTGCACGACCAGGATAGGGTGGCGCGCAGGGCAGAGCAGGGCGGCGCGGCGACCAGCAGGGCGGCACGCGGGAAGGGCAGGGCCGCTTGGTAAGCTGCAGGGCTGCGTGCGGGCAGGGCAGGACGGCGCTCGACTGACAGGGTGGCGCGGGGGCAGGAAAGGGCGGCGCGCGACTAGCAGGGCGACGCGTGGGCAGGAAAGGGCGGCCCGTGGCCAGCAGGGCGACGCGACGGGCAGGGGCAGCCCGCACGGGCGACGCAACGGGCATCAGGGGCGCACGGGCGGCGCGACGCGACGGGCAGCTGGGGCGCGCGGCGCGACGGGCAGTTGGGGCGCACGGCGCGACGGGCACCAGGGGCGCACGACCCGACGGGCAGCAGGGGCGCGCGATGTGACGGGCAGCAGGGGCAGGGCGGCGTGACGTATGGCAGGGCGTGCGTGGGCAGTGCAATGCAGGGCAGGCGTGCGCAGGGCAGCGCAACGCAGGGCAGGGCAGAGCGCACGCTAGGCAGCGCAACGCAGGGCAGGGCAAGGCAGCGCGGCAGCCAGCAGGGCGGCGCGAGGGCAGAGGAGTGCGACTCGTGGGGCAGCGCGACGGACAGGGTAGGGGGCTACGGGGAGGGTAACGCACTGCGGGCAGTGTAACGCGCTATGGGCAGGGAACTGTACGGTGGGCCCTAAAAAAAAAAATCAGTCCTGAAACATGACCCGCTCTGAAACCATGTCAGAAGACTAAGCGAGAATGAATTCATTGAACAGAAAGTTGGGTACAAGTATGAAACCCATTTTGGCTACTCCACCACAGCCTACACATATATAAATTATATATAGTTTGACACACCCCCATAGGCAGAGTGGGGGAGAACAAGGGGTCACACGACCAGTCAAGAGAAGCAAAGCAAGCTCAGGGTGGATCACAACGTCACCACACACACTGAGCACAAGCAAGAGGCCACAAGGCCAGTTCACATACAGAGGTATATATATGCATCAACAACAGCACAGTGATCATTACCTAGCAAGAGCAAGCATGCAGGTATATATATAGATCACAGTACAAGCAAAGCCTACAGCAAGTGAGGAAACGTAGGCACCAGGCCTAGAGCACTGCAAAGGGGCTGATGATCAGCCTGAAGGGCCTTGGTGAACACATCAGCTGTGTTGGCCCGGGTGGGCACGTGAACGACACGAAGCTGACCACGCTGCTGCAACTCTCGAGCAAGGAAGTAACGCAGAGTGATGTGCTTCGTTCTGTGCTCCAGTCTGTGGTCCTGACACAAGGTAATGGCAGCCTTGTTGTCGACGTACAGAACTGGAGGAGAACGAGGCCTCTCTCCCAAGTCGGTCAGCAGGTAGGTGAGCTAGCGTAACTCCTGTGCAGCCATGGCTGTGGCGTAGGTCTCAGCCTCACAACTGGAGCTGAGAACAGAAGACGAGCGTGTAGACCGCCAAGAAACAGAGCCGGAGCCAAGGCTGAAGGTGTAACCCTGTGACGACCGCTGCGTAGCCAGGTCGTCAACCCAAGAAGCGTCAGAGTGCCCAGTGAGGACAACGTCACCCCGTCCTCCAAGCACGAGCCCCATGCCCGATGTACTGCACAAGTAGCACAGTACCCTCTTAGCAGCATCCATGTGCACCTTTCGGTGCCTGCCAGGAGCCACGTAGCGAGCCAGAAGGCCAAGAGGGTACGCAAGGTCAGGTCGAGTGCAGGTCATCAGGTACATGAGGCAGCCCACTAGCTCTGGATATGGACCACTCGGCTCTACGGACTCGTTCGAAGGTGGAGCTGAGAGCGAGTGACCTGTAGCCAGAGGAGTGGACTGTGGCGAGGACCAAGTGAAGCCGAAGCGCTGAAGGACCTGCAGCACCATGTGTGACTGAGTCAGTGTGATGGTGCGGCGAGCTCTGTCCCGGGTGATCTGCAAGCCAAGGTAACTGCGCAGCTCACCCTGGTCTGTGCACGTGTGTCTCTTCTGCAGCTCCGACTTCACAAGGGCGAGAGCCTCAGTGTCAGCAGTGGAAAAGACCAAGTCGTCGACGTACACGAGGATTTAGAACGGCGGCTGTGAAGTGTTGGTGCGCAGAATCAGCGGCGTGTCAGCAGTGGAAGGGGCAAACCCAAGAGCCGCAAGTGTCGTCCTCAGTGTGTCGTGCCACTCACGAGGTGCCTGGTGGAGACCGTAGACTGGCCGCCGAAGGCTCCACTGGGTACCAGAAGGGAACGACCCAGTAAAGCTAGGTGGGCGGCGCAGCCAGATCTCCTCGTGCAGACTGCCCTGTAAGAAGGCTGTGTTGAAGTCAAGAGAGTGAAGCTCGTAGTCACGCTGAGCGGCAACGTGCAGCAGCACCCGAAGAGTGGTCATCTTTGGGGTGGGGGAGAAGGTCTGGAAGAAGTCAACTCCCTGTCGCTGACTGAAGCCTCGTGCAACGTAACGAGCCTTGAAGATAGGCGGAGAACCTGGCGGCCGCTTCACCCTGAAAATCCACATGCCATCGACTACGTTCGCCCCAGGAGGGGGAACTGCGTCGACGTAAGTGCCTGCAGACTTCCAGAATGCCATCTCTGCGTCCATGGCTGTCTGCCACTGAGAGGAGTACTCACCCGCGATCGCCTCAGCGTAAGTGCGCGGGGTCGGGATGTCTGGTGCATCCGGGTCTCCCTCAGGGGCAAGCAGCATGGCCACGAGATGAGGAACACCAGCCGCAAGACACTCAAGGTCCTCCTGCCTGTCCTCAAGGACGTCCGTGCCAAGAGCACACTCACCCCCGACGGACGGAGGACAGACAGACTCAGACCCAGCAACAGGACTAGCAGCGTAGTCTAGACGGCAGGCAGCAGCAAAGTCAACAAGCTCAGCGACCAAGGCAGACGCAGCAGCAGACTCAAACGACGGGTCAGTGACAACAGTGGCTAACAGACGCGTGACACTAGGGTGAGCAGCACGAACCTTGTCAGACTCAGGGTCTGGAACGTCAGGCAGAGAGGACGCAGGAAGAGTCGGCAGAGGAACACGCTGTGGAACAGATGAAGGACGTAGTACCATAGTGTGCGTGCCGGGAACAGCAGGCGGACGCTCACGAGGAACACGACCAGTGCGACCAGTGCGAACAGGCGAGACAGGACAAGACGCTTAGCAAGACCTCCTGTCAGCTCAGTGTAAGGAGAAGGAGCAGGCAGTGGTGAGCCAGGCTGTAACGGAAGACCAGTAGAAGACGGGAGGCTAAGAACCTGGCGAAGCACGGAGTCAGGCGCTGGCTGAGACGACGATGAACAGTCGCGGCTGTGCAGTGCCACCAGCACCAGTAGCTCCAGCACCTCCAGCAGCTCTAGAACCTCCAGCTCCAGCGCCTCCAGCGCTAGCATCTCCAGCAGCTCCAGAACCTCTAGCGCCAGCACCTCCATAAGCAGCACCCCGAGCAGGACCACCCCCAGTAGGACCTGAGTCACCAGTGACCTCAACCGGCTCAGTCAAGGGAGGAGGGTCAACCTGAGACACACCTGAAGGAGTAGGACCTGGAGCAGGGAGGGGGATTACCTGAGGAGGACCTGGAGCGAGAAAGAGCACCGAGGGGGGTAAGAGGGGCAGTGCGGTAGGGAAAGAGACGGTAAAAGGGGACCGACTCGTCAAAGGTGACGTCCTGAGATGCAAAGACACGGCGCGAGGCAAGGTCGAACTGCCAGCCAGGCGCGTCAGGAGGAAAGCCAAGGAAGACGCAGGGAATGGTGCGAGCGGAGAGCTTATCCGCAGTGGTATCGCGGAAAAAGGCACGAGCACCCCTGAAATCGCGACGCATCGCCAACCTCCCCCGTCCAACGTAGTGTGGGCGAAGTCTCCGGCACGGAGACACGGGGCCAGAGGTTGAGCTGATGCGCGGCGTACCGGACCGCAAACAGCCACAGAAAATGGGGGGCAGCCGCATGGATCATGGAGGTACGAGCGACCTCCATGACTAAGCCAATGCAGCGCTCAGCAACCCCATTTTTCTGCGTAGAGGCCAAAGCGTGAACGACTAGCGGATGCCCTCCTCCTCACAGAAAGCTTGCAAGAGGTCGGAGGTGAACTCACCACCTCTATCAGAGTGCAGACGCAGGACAGGAAAGTCCGACTTGAACCGCTCGCGGAGCTGGAGACGAACAGCGCGGATCCAAGGGATCAGAACAGCAGGGACATCCCCCTTGCGCTGCAAGGGGAAGACCGTGGTGTAACGCGTGTAGTCATCGACGACCAGCAGGAAGTACCGCTCGCGGCCCTGCCCCTGGACGCGGGCTGGGCCCCACACGTCCAGGTGGAGAGTCTGCAGTGGAGCCTCTGTGGGAGGGAACGAGGAGGAGTGAGGAGCGGCGCGCTGCCGTCCCTCGACGCAAGGAATGCAGGGCGGCACAGGCGAGGGAGGGAGGGCAGAGACCTGGGAAGACCAGAAACCAGGGAGCGAGAGTGCATGCCACGAAGGCGGGGCAGGGAGGGGTGACCAAGGCGGTGGTGCCAGAGGAGAGTCTGGTGCGACAGGCGGCGACACTCACACTGGGTAGCTACCTGAGCGGACGCGTACAGCTGAGGAGACAAAGGGGTGTAGCGCGACACGGTGGTGAGGGTGTACAGACTGGACCCAGGCGCACGTGTGAACGTGGCCAGGTGGCGGCCAGTCCGAGAGCACGTGCAGATCGCCACACGCTGTCCTCCAGGAGTAAAGGTGTCAACCCAATGATCCTGAAGGACGGCGGTGCTCACCAGGTTCGTAGAGAACGAGGGGAGGTGGAGACCTGACAGTTCACTAAACGGGACCTTCGGGCACGGAAGCACAGTAGTGGACCGTGCAAGCACTGGGCCCCCAGAGGGGTCAGCCAGTGAGACTGGGGCAGGTGCAGGGAGTGGTGTGACTGTGGTACTGTCGTGAAAGAAACAGCGGGAAGCACCAGAGTCAAGTGTAAAGGTGTGCAAGGCCTGAGCCGACGCAGTACCAGGGAGAGCAGACTCACTAGCACCTAGGGCTGCAATCTCTATACCTAGACCAGGCAGCATACACAAGTAGCAGTCACCCTCAGCACTAACAGTCAATGCATACATGGCAGCAAGAATTGCATCATAGTCAAGATCAAAGATAGGAACATCACGCCTAAGCGGGTCTGCCCAAGGGGGAAACTCACTAGCCTCAGGAAACTTGTCGCGCCAGGCGTCGCTGAGCGGAGAGAAGCAGCGGTATCCAATGTGAAACTTGACGCAGGGGTGACCAGCGCGAGGGCCTGTGCGAATGATATACGGGCAGCGACCAGGACCCCCAGATGCCCCACGCTGAGTGTACCAGTCATGAAGCTGCTGAGTCGGGGGGTCTAGCGCTGACGCTGCTGTTGCTGCTGCTGCGGCTGCTGCTGCTGCTGCTGCTGCTGCCCCTGGCCACCACTGGAGCCCCCCTTCTGGCCAGTCCCACTCCAGCCCCCACCACCGCTGCCACCACCGCTCCCTCCTCCCCCACTACTGCCGCTGCCACCTCTACTGCTCTCGGTACCACCGCCGCCCCGACCACCACCTCCACCCCCACGACCACCCCCACCACCTCCACCTCCCCCGCCGCCTCCACCACCGCCCCCTCCACCGCCACCTCCACCACCCCTGCCACCCCTGCTGCCCCTGGCGCTGCGGCGCTTCCCACTAGGAGCGGAAGCAGCCCCGACCTCCTCAGCACCAAGGAAGTCGACAGCAGTAGCAGCAGAGGCGTAGGAGGGGGCAAGAGGGGAGGGGGAGCATCCCTCAAAGAGGGGAGTGCGAGGAGTGCCACGAGCAGCATCTACAGCGAGAATGTTCTTTTAGGCTGCTAGGAGGTGCTTCTCGAAGTCGGCGACAGTGAGAGTGGTAGGGTCTAGGGCGAGAAAGTGGTCCCTGACTGAGCGAAGAGTGTCAGGGAGGCGGGTGACGAGGAAGTAGAGAGTAAAGTACATCGGGGAGGGGGGGGGGGGGGTCTCGGCGAGGAACTCGTCCGGAAAGGCGGCACGAAAGCGAGCGTCACTAGCGCGAAGGTGAGAGATGAGGTCCTCAGCGGTGGTAAACGAGGACAGGTCGGGGAACAGGTAGGGTAGGAGAAGACGATTTAGGGCTGCAGTGGCTGGGGAAGAGTAGCGGGCGACTACGGCAGTGTACAGTGCCTTGGCTGTCTTGTGCTGGCTAAAGTGCGCGCGCTCAGTGATCGGTAAGTGGTTGCAAATAGCGAGGCGCGCAGCAGCATCACGCGTCTGCCACTGTGAGCGAGCGAGAGCGTCAGCTGTGTCATCAGGAGTAACAGAGGAGCCAGACGTGTGATTGTACAGCGAAACGCCGTCTTTGGCATCAGTCATAAGAAACAGTTGCAGGTCGTCGAGCCAAGTGGCAAATTCTATCGGGCGTCCGTCAAGATCGAATGCGAGGACGTTGAGAGTCACCATGATCGCAGCGCAGGTAAGGGTAGCGCGCAGGTGGCAATGTAGGGAGAAGGCCGGGAGAAGCTGCGCGCAGGGCTGCAGTGGCGGCGCACGAGCTGCTGGGGCGGCGCGCAAGTGGCTAGGGCGGCGCGCAGGGCAGCCGCTAGGCGCGCGCAGGCTGTTGGAGCGGCGCGTGGGCGGGTAAGGCGGCGCGTGGGGCAGCAGCGGGCAGCGCGGATGCTGCTGGGGCGGCGCGCGGGCGGCTGAGGCGGCGCGCAGGGCAGCCGCTGGCTGCGCGAGCGGCAGAGGCGGCACGCAGGGCAGCAGCGGGCCGCGCAAGGGCGGCTGAGGCGACGCGCGGGGCAGCCGCGGGCTGCGCGAGCGGCAGAGGCGGCGCGCGGGGTAGCAGCGGGCCGCGCGAGGGCGGCTGAGGCGGCGCGCGGGGTAGCAGCGGGCTGCGTGCGGGTAGCCTGGGCGACGCGCGGGGCAGCAGCGGGCGGCGCGCAAGCTGCTGAAGTGGCCCGCGCGAAACTAGGGCAGCGCGCGGGGCAGCAGCGGGCAGCGCTCGAGGCAGCAGGACGGCGCGCACAGCGTAGCACGTCACAGGGCAGGCAAAGCAAGGCGCGTGCAGACGTCACGGACCTACTGCTCTGAAACCATGTCAAAAAGACTAGCAAGAATGAATGAACTAGGTCAAAGTTGGGTACAAGTATGAAACCCTAAAGGGGCTATACCCCATATTGGCTACCCCACTACAGCCTACAGATATATATATATATATTATATATAGTTTTGCAGTACTAACCCTAATTGGGTTGTACCCCTTATGGGCTACCCCACTACAGCCTACATTGTATAACCATTATAACGCTTTGACACTCTGACACCTCTCCGCACAGGGATACCCAAAGTGCACACACTGGGATTCGAGCGCGAGACCTTCGCTCTGATAGCATGGCTGGTTTGTGCAATGGGTGAGTGCGCCCATAACCCCCCAGACCAACGTGCCTGTAACCTGTGAGAGTACGACGGCTTATGCTTGTTATTCATGCTTGCTATTATTTCCTTACGCTATTCCTAGCTTAGGTTTATTTTCTGCATGCATGAATTGCTTGATTTCCTAGGTTCGTTGCTTTACTATAGTTATTATAGTTATAGGCACCGAACCAGGTTACGTGTACCGAACTCAAGCTATTCGGTTGCCACCGAATTGCTTTCTACCGAGTTCGGGAAGGTTCTGTTTGGGACGCTTCGCGACCCTCGGAACATTCGCGTAACACCTGGGTTACCTGCCTTGTGTCGAGCCTATATATAGCCTCGTGTTGTACCCAGGTGATCATTCAATTTACATTCTCATTTCTGAACTCGATCCTCGATCCTCACACTTGGTAATCAGAGCTCGTTTACACGCGAAGTTCTTTCGACCGCTAAAAACCAGTCTTCAAAAAACCGCGGGGGCGACGCAGTTAAACATCGATTTCGGGTACGTAAAACCGGTTCCGTGTTTTTCGCTCCCCCTCGATTCGGTTTTTTCGGACGCGTAATGTCAGGCATGGAAGGCCAGGGCGACAACTACGCGACTACGAGCGACATCGCGAGCCTCCGCACCGACATGGAGCAGACGCAGGCGACGCTTCGTCGACTCGAGGCATTTCTGACAATCCACCCAGGGTTCGCCATGGCAGCAGCAGCGACCGCAACGACTGCAGCACCGACAACTCCAGCAGCAGTGGCGACACCGACATTTCACGGACCGATGGCACCACTGTCGCCGAACCTTGAAGCAGCACGACCGAGGCTCCCGGAGGCGTTCGATCCAAGCGCGAAGGGATCCGACGTCCGGCGATTCGTGGCCACCCTCGAAATTTACTTCGAGGCCATTGGCTGTTCGACCCCGACACACGACGCGACACGAATCCGGCTCGCAGCGACACTGTTACGCGGACCAGCACTCGAGTGGATTTACAACACTGACGTGGCCCGCGAGGAGAAAACGTGGACGCCGTTTCGGGCAGAATTAATTGAGCGTTTCGAACCGATTAACACCACCTACATGGCGCGGCAACAAATTCATCGGCACAAACAGTACAGTAGTGTAGCACAGTACACGCAGCAGATGGAGCTCCTGTTCAACCGCATCCCCGACCTGACCGAAGGCGAAAAAATCCAGGCGTACACAGAAGGGTTAAAATTAGAGATTCGGCGGCAGGTGATCGCGACAAACTACGATAGCTACAGGGACATCGTGCGTGCAGCAGAAAGATACGACGCGCTGACTCGAGGTCAACCCGAAACACGACGTTTCGGGCCGAACCGTACATTCGGCACGGAGCGATCGGCACCCCCCACGTTCGCCGAACCGATGGATATCGACAAGTTTGACGCGAAGCAGCAGCCGGCGAAATGCGAATTTTGCGGCGCAGCAGGGCATCAAATCTTGTCGTGCTACAAAATGAAGAAGGCACGTGCGGCACTCCGGGACGGTAACAGTGGAGCACCCCCGAAGTAAAAAAACGGCAATCGCCAGTAGCCGCGGATCGACCTGGCGATCGCGTAAAGATCCGGAAAGCGGAAAAGGGCGACGACGTGGCGACTTCGGAGCGGGTGAAAAAAGGAGAAAATGATGGCGCGAATCTAAAACGTCACGACCGGCCGGCATCAGGGGAAATCCCCGAGGGAAAAGGTGGCTCCGCGAAAAAAGACTCTGCACCGACCGGGAAACTCCAGCCGGACCCCCACGAAAGTAAGAATTCGTTAAAAGTATCCTATAAAGATACTCTAACGAAAAATATTGCTTCTCGTGGTTTTCAAGCCTTTGAAAAATTCAGGGGAGATTTAGAGGCCAAGAAAAAGCCTTTAGAAATTATTCAGGTACCTGCAAAGTTGGGCAAAGTATTACGGAGCGTAGAAAAGGGTCGTGCGTTCCGTGGTGTTAATATTCTCTCCCCGCAGCATAGTGTTAAGGCTCCCCGTTGCCCACAGGTGAAGCCTACACAGCTGCAAAGGCTTAGAGGAGACATCCAGGCTCAGGAGAAATTATACAAGCCTCGGAAAAATCCTCCTACCCCCCAGGTGAAGTTGGAAAGTGCTGAGTCGGGTATAGGAACTAGGGAAGGTATTCATTTTGATGTACCCTATGATCCTATTAATGAGACCCTCTTTGGCTACTCAGCGCAGCAGAAACCACTACTCCTCGAGGTGTTATGCAATGGGCGACGCCTCCAGGCACTGGTGGACAGCGGTGCATCTCACTCAGTGTGCGACCGCGAGACATTGGAGAAGATTGGGGAGAAGGCGGAGGAGACCCAGTTTTCAGCAACCATGATGGACGGCATGAAGCTTCCCATCCACGGCGAAGTATCCTTGTGTCGAAATCAACAGACAGGAATGATTGAACTAGCAGTGAAATCAGTACAAGTACCTAACCCTAGAATTGTGTACCCCCTATAGGCTAACCCACTGTAGCCTAAACAAACACAACATATATAATGTTTGACACACCCCCATAGGCAAAGTGGGGGAGAGCAAGGGGTCACAAGACCAGTCAAAGCAAAGCAAAACAAGCTCAGGGTGGATCTCAAGGATACCACACAAATTCCGAGCACAAGCAAGTGGTCACAAGACCAGTTCACATGCAGGTTGATAATATAACAAGAGATACAGTGATCACAACCTAGCAAGTGTAAACATGCAGGCATATATATAAAGATCACAGTACAAGCAGAGTCAAGAAGTAAGTAAGTGAGGTCCAGCAGGCACAAGGCCTAGAAGAGTACAGAAACGCTGATGGTCACAAGGCTGAAGCGCCTTGGTGAACACATCAGCAAGGTTGGCCTCAGTGGCCACGTAACGCAGACGAAGCTGACCACGCTGCTGCAGCTCTCGAGCAAGGAAGTACCGCAGGGCGATGTGCTTCGTTCTGTGCTCCAGTATGTGCTCCTCACACAAGGCAATGGCAGCCTGGTTGTCGACGTACAGCACTGGAGGAGAACGAGGCCGCTCTCCCAAGTCGGTCAGCAGGTAGGTCAGCCAGCGTAGCTCCTGGGCAGCCATGGCTGTGGCGTAGATCTCAGCCTCACAACTGGAGCTGAGAACAGAAGAAGAGCGTGTAGAACGCCAAGAAACTGAGCCGGAGCCAAGGCTGAAGGTGTAACCCTGAGATGACCGCTGAGTAGCCTGGTCGTCCGCCCAAGAAGCGTCTGAGTGTCCAGTAAGTACAACTCGGTCTCGCCCTCCAAGCACTAGCCCCATGCCCGACGTACTGCACAAGTAGCGCAACACCCTCTTAGCGGCATCCATGTGCTCCTTCCTGTGACGGCCAGGAGCGACATAGCGTGCAAGGATGCTAAGAGGGTACGCAAGGTCAGGTCGAGTGCAGGTCATCAGGTACATGAGGCAGCCCACAAGCTCTGGATACGGGCCACTCGGCTCTACGGACTCATCCGAAGGCAGAGCTGAGAGCGAGTGACCGGTAGGCAGAGGAGTGGACTGAGGCGAGGAGTACGTGAAGCGGAAGCGCTGAAGGATCTGCTGCACCATGTGTGACTGAGTCAAGGTGATGGTGCGCCGTGCTCTGTCCCGGGTGATCCACAAGCCAAGATAGCTTGTCAGTTCACCTAGGTCTGTGCACGTGTGTCTCCTCTGCAGCTCCGACTTCACGTGGGCGAGTGCCGCGGTGTCAGCAGTGGCAAAGACCAAGTCGTCGACGTACACGAGGATGTAGAACGGCGGCAGTGAGGTGTCTGTGCGTAGAAACAGTGACGGGTCAGCAGTAGAGGGAGCGAACCCAAGAGCCGCAAGTGTCGTCCTCAGTGTGTCGTGCCACTCACGCGGTGCCTGGCGGAGACCGTAGACCGGCCGCTGAAGCCTCCACTGGGTACCAGGAGGAACCGACCCAGTGAAGCCAGGAGGGCGGCGCAGCCAGATCTCCTCGTGCA